CCGTGTCAGCATCAGTGTCAGGCACAGGCTGGCAAGTGGTGGCCGCTGCTTCTTGGTGTGAGGACAGTCAGATCCCACGCAGCCGCCATGCCTGCCCCGGCTTTGAAGGGCTCTGACCTCCTGCTGGGCAGTGCCTCAGTGGGCCTAGAGGCTCAGCTGCCACATTGTCCCCAGAGCAGGGTGTGTGGGTGGTTGTGTTGTGCGCGTGTGTGCACGCACGCACACGCACATGAGGTTTTGGCCTTCTGCGCAGCTTGGGGTCACAATAAAGAGGTCCTGAGGGTGGGCAGCCCTGGGCCTGGAGCTCAGCATTTTGGCTGCCCTCCCTCCATGCCTGGGCGATTACGCACACCCTCCACCCAGCCATGGCCTCGGTGGAGCAGGTGCAGCCCCTGGACGCGAGGGGGCCACAAGACCAGTCCTGCCGGTGGCTCAGCGCCGGGCAGGGAGGGTGCCACGGGGCAGACAGGGAAGGACAGGTGGCCCTCCGTCTAATTGGCATCTGAGTGCTGGGGGTCTACAAACCTCGGGTCAAAGCTGTTTAAAGAAAGAAAGAAAGGAGGAAGAGAGGAAGAGGGTGGCGGGGACAGGAAAGGCTGGGTATGGTGATCCACACCTACAACTCCAGCTACTCAGGAGGCCGAGGCAGCGAGATCACAAGATCTGGGCAACTTAGCAACTTAGAGAGACTCTGTGTCAACAATTAAAAATAAAAAAAGAGCTGGGGATGTAGTCTAGTGTGAAGGCCCCAGGTTCAACCCCAAGCACTGCAAAAAAAGCCCCCAAAAACAAAAACCAAGCAATTGGTGCTGGACATACACAGACCCTCCCGCTTGCCCTTATTCCCTGAACAGCACAGCGTGGCAGCTGCGTACGTAGTGCTTACGTTGTACCGGGTACCTTAGGACTTACAGAGGAGGTTTCGGCACACAGCAGGCAGTGCCCAGGTCTCTGCAGATCCCATGCTATTCTCTAAGGCACTGAGCCTCCCCGTGTTGTGCTGCTCCCGGGGTCCAGGGACTGTCCCTTGGCTGAGAGCTGGCTGGAGGCTGATCCCAGGGCAAGTTAGGTGTTACAAAGACGCTGAGGTGACAGTTAAGTCCTGAGGGGGCCGGGCATCTGTTGTAGAGGTACAAAAGTCAGAAAAGAGCAGTGGGAATGTCCACCGGGAGAGACAGCAGGCCCCGAAGCCTGTAGCAGGGGCCAGGCTAGGCCGTTGCAGAATGGGGCAGCGGGAAGAGGGAGCAGGTCATGTGGCCTGAGCCTGGAGTTACACGGGGTGGACAGTGTCCCTCGAATACCTGCCCACCTGGAACCTCCGAGTGGGACCCACCTGGGAAACAGCGTCTTCACAGATAGGGTTAGGGAAGGATCAGGAGGCGAGACCATCCTGGATTGGGGCCGTCTCAGATCCAATGACAGGGGACACAAAAGGAGCAGGCACACTGGGACCCAAGAGCAGGTGGTTGTGTGGCTGCAGAGGTGGAGGGGAGCAATGGGGCCACAGCAGAAGGTGCCAGGGCCACTGGGAGCTGGGAGAGGAGACAGGAAGGCGCTCAGAGGAAATGTGGCTGCCCACACTCACATGAGCATCGAACTGGGCAGGTTGTGATAGTAGCCACAGGGAAGGGCACAGGAGGGTTCTTCCCCGGGAGGGCGAGGCCTGGCACCTGGCGCCGGACAGATGGACGCCCTTCCAAGCTACTCCAGCTTGGGTGTTCTTTCCTCCTCCTCTTCCTCCTGCTCTTCCTTCTCCTTCTCTTTTGTACTACCAAGGACTGAACCCAGGGTCTTCACACTGAGCTACACCCCAGCCTGTTTTATGTTTCATTTTGAGACAGGGTCTCAGTAAGTCACGAAGTTGTCCAGGCTACACTTGAACCAGTGATCTCCCTGCCTCAGCCTCCCAGATGCCCTGGCTGCTGTGGGGAAGGGCCCACTGTGGAGGCCAGCAGGCAGCAACAGGCTGCCTGTAGCTGGGTTGGCACAGCTGAGAGGCTGCTACTGGGCTGAGGGCATGGGGAGGACAGAGGGGTGGGGAAGATCTCCTCAATAAGGAGAAATCGGTAGAAAGTGAGCAAATGGTATGAGGCAGCAAATTTGGAGACTGAAAGGATCTGTGGCTGGCAAGGGAGCACGTGCCTGACACTCGTCTCCGTCAGTCATGGAGGAAACGATGAGACACCGCTGCAGGGCATCGGGGGCACATTTCCATCGTGTGTTGAAGGCTGGATGGATCAACAGGAGGCAGGAACCCGGGGGCCAAACCCACGCAGCAGAGACACACGGTCACACATGGCACGGAGGGAGTGCAGAGTAAGCACTCGAATGAAAGACACCGGACAAGGAGTGTGCTGTGTGGTCTCATTTCTATAAATCTCTCGAAAATAGATGTGCACGATGGCGCATGCCTGTGATCCCAGCACTGTTGTGGGAGGCTGAGGCAGGAGGCTGGAAATTTGAGCCCAGCCCCTGGGAACTTAGCAACTTAGTGAGATCCTGTCTCAAAAATAAAAAGGACTAGGAATGTAGCTTAGAGCAAAAGCCCAGGCTGTATCTCTAACACTGCAAAAATGAATCAATGGCCGGGTGTGGTGACGCACACCTGTAATCCAAGCACTCAAGAGGCTGAGGCAGGAGGATCGCTGCAAGTTTAAGGCCAGACTGAATTGTATAGGGAAACTCTGTCTCAAAAAAAACCACACACACACACACACACACACACACACACACACACACACACAAGAATGGATGGATGGGTGGATGGATGGATGGATGGATATCGTTTTTTTTCCCTTTCTTTTTTTTTTTTTTTTTTTGATACCGGGAATCAAACTCACAACCTCGCGCTTGCCAGGCAGCTGCTGTGCCATTGAGCTACATCTCCGACCAGGATGGATGGATATGTAGGTTAGGTCAGTGAGCTTGCAGAGCCGACTTGCACTCCTCCTGCCGGGGAACACAAGGCAGGTTTGGTTCAGGCCTCTCTGCTCGTGTATCTCAGGTGGCAGAGTGCTTGGGCCTTGGGGACCCTTGGAGGCCCAGGCTGATCCCCGCAGCAGTGGGTCACATTGGTTCTAATGCTGCGGCCCTGTGTGGCCACCTTGCACGGCCACAGGTGAGTGGCACACCTGCCTCCCCAGGGGATGGGGAAGCTGAGACTGGGAAGGGCCAACAGTACTAAGGACAGCCCTGGCGGCAGAAGCAGGATGCAAACCCAGAGTCCACTGTGCACAGACCCGTAAGTGCATAGTGAGAACTGAATGCCACCTTCAAGGCAGGCAGGTGGGAAGCTCAGACCTGCCTTGCTGGAGTGGGTATGGGGCCTGTGGGAGGATGGGCAACACACAAGAAAGCACTGCAGCCAGGCATGGCAGCTCAAGTCTGTAATCCTAGCACTCTGGGAGGCTGAGGCAGGAGGATTGCAAATTTGAGACCAACCTAGGCAATTTAGCGAGACCCTGTCTCAAAATACAAAATAAAAAACGGCTGAGGATGTAGTTCAGTGTGAAGATCCTGGGTTCAGCCCCCAGTACCATAGGGACAACAAACAAAAACAAGCTGACCCACAGCCTGCTGGAGAAGGGGCTTGGTGGAATGGGAACAGGATGGACTTTTTACTGCATAATCTCTGGTACCTTTTGACTTGTGCTTTTGTCAGTGTTTCACCTATTAACAAATAATAAATGAAGATCTTAAATGAAAATCAAATTCCCTGCCTTGCCCTGCCTGGTATTAGCTGCTGGGAGTGAGTGGGGTGGGTAAGTAGAGGCATTTCCTCTTTCAGGGGCCCAGGACTTCGACCTTGACCTGGGGAAGATCCGGAGTTTTGTCCTTGCCCTGGCCAGCCGCTGGCCTCCAGCCTGTCCAGGCATTGCCACACCAGGGGACAATCAGGTCCCTTCCTGGGGCTGGCCTTGGGGGTGAGTGCCTGGCAGCACTGACCCCGAGGGGGACCAGATGGTAGGCTGGGTGCAGAGGGGGGCCATCTCCCTCTACAGTGCCCAAACTGGGGATTTCAACTAGCTGTCCGCCCTGACTTCACCGCCTGTCATTAGATGATTGGTAGAAAAGCAGGACTCTCTGACTTTTCTTTTCTTTTTAAAATTTTTTTAGTACTGGTGATGGAACCTAGGACCTTTGCACTGGGCAACATTCCTAGCCCTTTTTATTTTTATTTTAAATCAGGGTCTCACTAAATTGCTAAATTGCCCAGGCTGTGCTAGAATTTGTAATGCTCCTGCCTCAGCTTCCCAGAATGCTGGGATTATAGGCATGTGCCACACTGCCTAGTAGGACTCTGATTTTTTTTTTTTTT